CCTGGAGCTTTGGCAGTATTTAGGGTTGGTGCCTGTGTGGGATGTTTGTTGGGGTCAGGGCCTGGATCTTTGGCAGTATTTAGGGTCGGTGCCTGTATTTTTGGGGATGGTTGGTGGGGTCTGTGCCTGGAGATTTTTGGGCTGTTCAATGGAGTTGGTGCCTGGAGCTTTGGCAGCATTTAGGAATGGTGCCTGCAGTTTTGGGAATGCAACCCAGGGTTTGGGATGTTTGATGGGATTGGTGTCTGGAGCTTTGGCAGTATTTAGGATTGGTGCCTGTGTTTTTTGGGATGTTCAATGTAGTCAGTGCCTGGAGCTTTAGGAATGGTGCCTGCAGTTTTGGGAATGCAAACCCAGGCTTTGGGGATGTTTGATGGGGTGGGTACCCCTTGCTTTAGGGATGAGCTTTGGGGTTGATGCCCAGGATTTTGGGCATGTTTGGCACTCTGGACTTTGGGGATTCCCCACGGATTCAGTGCCTGGGGGCTTTAAGGATGCGCCTTGGGGTCAGTGCCAGGAATTTATGGATGCTTGAAGGAGTCTGGGGATGCACCTTAAGGCTGTGCTGAGCCTTTAGGGATGCTCAGTAGGGTCAGTGCCTGTAGCTTCAGGAATGTGCCTTGGGATGGTACCCAGGGTTTTGGGATGCTTGGTGAGATTGGTGCCTGGGGTTTTGGGGATACTTCTCTGGGTTTGGGGGTGTGCCTTAGGATTGATACCCAGAGCTTTTGTGATGCTCTATGGGGTCAGCCCGGGGGGCTTTTGGAGCTGTTCCTCCAGGACAGCACCTGGCAGGCAGAGCATCCCCAGGAGGCAAACCCGCTCTCCCTCCCCTCCCCGCTCCGCCGGCAAGTTTGGCCGCTCTCTCTCTTCTCCGTCTCCCAGCCGAGGCCTCTCATGCTCCTCGCAGCTCCTATGATAATGCGGAAAGTTGAACTGGCCCCATTACTGCGCTGCGATGGTTGCGGCGATAAGGGCGCGATAATGGCAGCGATAGCGGCGGCTCGGTAGCCAATGGCTCCGCCGCTGCTGCCATTAACATTCCCCACCACGGCCGGGCTCGGAGCTGCCTATCTGCTCTCCATTTCCACTCCTCCGCTAGATAAGAATGGAAATACTGACTTCATAGCTCACTGATTAAAGTGTCTGGATTTCTTGATAATACACAGATAAATTATGTTTTTCAAAAAGAAGGTAGGGAAGGGAGTGCGAGGGGAGGGAAAAACCTCCAGTCCATTTTTATTTTATTTTTTTTTTCCCCTTCCTTCCCTGTTTCTGGCGGTGCCCTGGGAGTTGGGAAAAAACCTCCAGTCCATTTTTATTTTTTTTTTTTTTTTCCCCTTCCTTCCCTCTTTCTGGCGGTGCCCTGGGAGTTGGGTTTTTGCTGCTCCAAAATGCCCTTCCCAGCTGGAAGGCAGAGCCCTGGGAGGTGCCCTCAGGAATGGGGGGAAAAAGGATTTTTGGGGTGTAGGGCAGCCCTGTGCTGGGATGGAGATGCTGTTCCGGCACCCAGGGACCTGCTGCCATCACTTTGCCAGCTGTGCCACGTGCTGATCCTGGTGGTGGCTGGGCCATCTCCAGGTGGGATCTGTCCCCAGCTGGATGCACCAGAGATGCTCGTGAAGCATCTCCATTTCTGTTTGCACCTCCCTGTTTCTGCTGCAGGGTGCTGGATACTTTGGAGCAGCCTCATCCCTCTGCCCTGTCCATACTCAGCTCCTTGGCTTTCCTCACTCATCCCCACTGGAGCAAACAGCTTTGAGACTTCTTAGTTTGGAGAAGGTATCGACCACGAGCCTCTGAGTTTGTTTCATCTAAATATAAAACTAAAGAGCAAACAGTATAAAGTTCATTTTTTAATGTGCTGCCCCATTCCAGTTGGGCTGCTCTCTTTATTTTTTTTAGGGGAACTGTGATAAAAAGCAGAGATAAAGCCAGGACTGTTTTGTGTAGGAGTCGGTATCTGCGTTATCTATCTCCCTTTTTCACTCTCCGGGCAGCTCTGTTGTTTTTCGCTCTTATCTCGCTCCACCAAAATGCCAAGAACAGGAAAAAAAAATTAGAAAAAAGAAAGAGAGAGGCAGCACAGGCACGTTTGCACAGAGAGAACTCGGTGTCCACGGAGCAGGGTGGGAGAAGGGCCTGGAGTTGGAGGAAGAGGAGGGTTGAGGTGCTGGGAAGGATTTTGGGAGCAGGGCTGTGCCAGGGACCTCCATGTGCCAGGTTTGGTGCCAGCTGCTCTCAGATTGGCCACCCAACCTGGCTGTGCCCTCTGAGGGTCCTTCCCTGCCCCTGGAGCCCCCACGGTTCCTGCTGGTTGCCCTGGAGTGCTCCAGGTGGCCCTGGGAGCTGGGATTGGGCATCCTGTGGGACTGGGAGCAGCGGGGACATCCCAGCCACAGCATCTTTGCTGAGGCCCCCTTGTCCCCATCCCTGTCCCCATCCCTCAGGCCTGGTTGTCACCCAGGGCTGTCACAGACTGCAGGGCTTGGGGTGGCACTGAAAACCATCCCTGTTCCCTTTCCATTGCTTTTGGGAGCTGGCAGGACCTGGAGCCGCTTCCCACAGGAGGGGGGATGGCTCCAGCTCAGCATCTCTGGGTAATTTGTCGCTGGATTAGCCCAGAGCTTGACCTCTGTCCTCGCTGTCACCTGGTGCTGATGTGCTGGAGTGCTGCCTGAGCATCCCCACCCCCAGCCATTCCCGCCTGGAACGTCTTTATTCCAGGTGGGAGAAGAAGTGTCCGAATTGAGGGCTTTTCCCCCAGTTCCACCCTTTGGCAGGGAGCAGGGGTGGCGTGCTTGGAGCCTGAACTTCCTGCATGGAATTTCCTTTCCGTCTTGTTGCGTATCCAGCTGCTCCCGAAGCTCTCACATCCTGGATCACCATGGGCACCAACACCTCACACCGCTCTTGGATGGGGCTTGGATGGAGACCCCTCCAGTGCCCCCAGGAAGGGCTGCTCCTCCTCTCCCAGTCTCAGCTGCCTCAGTTTCCCCGCTGTGCTCCGAGCAGCCTGTCGTGGCTCCGTGCGCTCTCCAGGCCACGTTCAGCGCATCCCTTCTCCGGAGCATCCCCATCCATCTGCTGCGCCAGGCACGGCTCCGTTCCGCTCTCTCCTCTCTCCAAATCTATCAGGGCCTTATCGACCCCATCTGAAACCTAAAGTCACTCCATTGTCATTGTCCCCGGATTTCTTCCCCGGCTCCTTCCCCTCCCTCGCGCGCGGCTGATCCGCCGGCCGCTCCTGTTGGGAATGGCGGCCCCCGGAGCGCCCCAATCTCCCGGAATCTCTCGGTGCTTTATCGGCCCATCGGAGCCGGGGCTGGCGGGGCCGGCGCTGGCGCCGCTCGCTGCTGATAAAGTTACAGAGTTCAGGCAGTGATGAATGTTCAGTAACTGCACCCGCCGCGATCCCGCCTGGGCTTGGCAGCGCGAGCAGCTCCGGCTGAAACCAATCCCTCCCCTATCAGCAGCGCTGCTCTTTCTCAGGCTCGGCCTCTCCCCGCTGCTGCTCTTCCCTGGGGGGCTCCCCTGGGGCAGCGCAGCACCCAGGGATGCTCCGGGGGCTCTGTCCCTGGCGGGTGGTTCTGGATTTGGCCCTGGAATGGTTTGGGTTGGGAAGGAGCGTGGAGCTCATCTGGATCCTGGGCAGGGACCTTCCACCAGACCAGGCTGTGGTGGTTGGGGCAGAGCAGCTCCCCAGCAGTCACTGGAGCATCCCATCCCATCCCAGCCTTCCCAACACCTCCATTCCCGCCCTGTCCTTGTTCCCCTCCTGGAAAAATTAGGCCTAGGTATATTAAAAATGTAACCATTATTAAAAATGTAACCATTATTATAAATGTAACCATTATTATAAACCTAATCATTATTATAAACTTAATAATTATTACAAATACCATCCCCTGAGAATTGGCAGCATCACCCATCCCCTTCATGCCCCCACCATTTCTTATTCCCCCACCCCTTCCTTTATTCCCCTTCCTGGTATAAATTAGGCCTAATAGATTATCAGTATAATAATGTTAATCATTATAAAGCCCCTCATGAGCTGTTGGAGCATCTTCCCATCAAGAATTACAGCATCACCCAGCACCTGTGTCCCCTATTCCCTTCCTGGATAAATTAGGCCTAAATACTAAAATGTAATAAGTCTATAAATTTAATTTATACATTATTATAAATATCCCCCATGAACAATCCCACTATCCCTACCATCTTATAAATTATTACAAGTATCCCCCATCAGCAAGCCCTACCACCTCCTGGATAACCCAGTAATAATTTAATACCAAACCATGATCAATACATTATAAATCCTCCCCTGCACCTTCTGATCCTCCAGCCATACTTTTTTTTCCTCGTCCTTTTCCCCTAGGGCACCACGGGCAGGGTCAGGGTGAGTTTTATCTGGAGGTGATGGAGAAGGGCCCCAAATTTGAGATAAAGCCCCCTGGGGCTGGCCCCAGCCGCTATCGGCTCCGTGCACGGGGCTGATCTTTCGTGGGGAGATACCCACGGGAAGAGCCTGGCCTGGGATGCTGCAGCCAGGCTGATAGGGGACAGGGCTGATTTGTGCTCCAAAAACCCTTTTCCTCTCGAAAGGACCCCAAATTTAGTGCAGCATCACCGGAAGAGCCTGGCCTGGGATGCTGCAGCCAGGCTGATAGGGGACAGGGCTCCAAAAGCCTTTTTCCTCTCAAAAGGACCCCAAACTATTGGAATTTAGTGCAGCATCACCGGGGGAGATCTCCCGGTGGATCAGTACCGCGCCCAGCGCCGGCGCGTTTGTCCCGGCTTGGCATTCCCGATCCGCCGGGAACCGGGGAGCAGCCGAGGTCGTTGGTAAAACAAACATCGGCAGGGCCCAGGGAGGAATTGGGTGAGAAGAGCGGGCGGGTGGCCCATCAGATAGCGGGATTTGCAGCCCGGGTTGTTCTCCGGGTGTTTCTGGCAGCGGGGCGGGCGCGGCACAGCCCCGCCACCGGAGCCGGGGAATCCCGGGATGCTCCAGACCCCACCAGGGCTGCCTGTGCTGAGGGAGCAGCTGGGACTGGCTCCAGGAGCATCTTTACCTCAGGAATCTTTCCCTGTTCCTGCAGCACTTTGCTCTTGGCTCCATGATTTAGGGGGAAAAGAGGCGATTTAGGGCAGCGAGGAAGCGATGCCTGAGTGGAATTCTCACATTTCCAGCCTGAGGTGATGGACGAGTGTCCTGGTGATGCTTTGTGCATCCCAAAACCCGGTTTGGAGCCTTGCCCACTTGCTTTTGGGTTGGTTTTCATTATTATTATTGTTATTATTATTGTGGTTTTTTAATTGGAAGAGGATAGTGCCAGCGCAGGGATGAGGAGGAGCTGGAAGGATGGAGAAGGGATCCTCCATTATGTTGCCTGTCTGGTGGAGTTGGAATGTCCCTCAGGATGCCCTGGCACAGCTGAGATGTCCCCACTGTCCCTCCCAGTGACACCCAGAGCCAAGGCTGAGCTTTGAGGTGCCTGGAGAGGAGGTTTGGGATGTGAGTTCACCCAGGCCCAGGCTCTGTCCCTCATTCCCTGACTCCTGGAGCCCTCCTTGGACTCATCCCCTGCCCGATGGGACTTGGAGGAATTTTTATTTTTAGAAATAAGGGTTGTGGATTCCCAGAACGGTTTGGGTTGGAAGGACCTTAAAGCTCATCTCCTTCCTCCCCCTCCACGGGCGGGGACACATTCCATTTAGCCCAGGTTGCTCCAGCCCCATCCAACCTGGCCTTGAACGCTTCCAGAGATGGGAATTGGAAAGGAGTCGGATGGGAAATTTTATTTAAATTCGTATTTAAAAATAAACACTTGGAGCTGACAGCAGCACGGAGCGCCAGCCGGCGAAGGCAGGTTGCCACCAGCCTGCACGTGTTCCCGATCCAGGACCTGCTTTCCACCACGGGAACTCCTCCTCCTCTTCCTCCTCCTCCTCCTCCTCCTCCCTGCTCCAGAGCCGGTGGGAAAGTCTGTGGCTGTTGCTATTTTCTATCTGTTATCAAGGCCTCTTATCACTTTGCTCTTGTCTCTGTGCCGGCTCTCCGAGCGCCCAGGGTCTCGCTCTTGGCAGCCTGGAAAAGTCCCCCCTCCTCCTTGATTCCCTATATTCTTTTGCCTTTTATTTAATTTACCAGCTAAGCACAAAGAATCAAGAAAAGCTTTATTGTTCCTGCGCTGGGAGAGCCTTAATTGGAGTGCAGTGATCAAATCATTACCTGGATAACGCCGGGGTTCCCTGGGAATGCCGACCCTCGGCCCAGCCCTGCTGACACGGGCACGGCGCCTCAGCTCCCTGCAAGTTTGTACAGTCACTGTCTTTTTTTTATTATTATTATTTTTATTTGAGGGGAAAAAAGAAGAAAAAAAGGGGGAAGAAAAAAAGAAATCCTTGCTCGTTATCAATAAAAAAAAGGAGGGAGGGAGAAGAGTTAATCGTCGAAGCGGAGTATCTTGGAAGGGAGCGTTTTTTGGCTCTTCCCCTCTCTGTAAAACCAGCCTCAGTAATTCAGTTTTAAAGCATGAAAAAAGGGAGTTGATGAAATTCCACTATCAGCACTGAACCAATATGCAAAATATCTCGCCGAGAATCAAATAGCTATTATGTTTTCATTTCCATTTCAGCGTATTTGCTTAATGAAGAATAGACAGATCAGGCCAGCCGAGGGAGGCTGTGTGCGGTGATAACTGTGCAGGGCTCCCAGCAATCCCGGGCAAGTGACGCTCCCTCCGCTCCTGCTCCACGCTCCCTCTCCCTCACTCGCCTTTTTTTTTCCCTTTTTCCCCCTTTTTATGATTTTTTTTTTCCCAGTGGTTGGTTTAACCCGCGCAGCTGGGAGTGCTGGCAGTGTGTCCCTGGGGCTGGTGGGCAGTGGGATGCTGCAGTGGGGTTGGGATACACCCAAGGATACAATTCTGGGATGCTGTTGGCCATCCAGCCTCCCCGTGGGCACTGGGTGACACCATGGTCCCCAAAACCCTGGGTTTACAGGCTTGGATTTATCTTATTTTTGTTCTATTTTTATTTATATTTATCTGCTTTATTCATCCCCATCTCCCTTGTGCTTGGGGGTGTGACATGGGATGCATCCATGGAATGTGTGAGATTCCAGGATGCTGTTGGCCATCAATTGTCCCTATATCAGGTTTGACACGTTGGATTTATATGGAGCAGCCTCATCTTCCTCGTGGCTGGAACTTGGCGTTTTGGGGTGGGATGTGGGTGGTCCCAGGATGCATCCAGGCATCACAGTGACAACATTCTGGGCTTGCTGATTCCCCACCATCCCTGTAGGCACTGGGTGTCACCACGGTGGCCAAACCCCAGCTGGATTTAGATGGAGCATCCCCATCTCCTCCCTGACTGGGGATGGGTGTGGGTCATCCCAGGTGGATCAGGGACCCCAGTGACGTTGGCCACCCATCATCCCTGTAGGAACTTGGTGGCACCACAGCACTCAAACTCCTGTTGGATTTATATGGAGCATCCAGTTGGATTTATATGGGGCATCCCCATTTCCCTCCTGGCTGGGGATGGGTATTTTGGGGTGGGATTTGGGATGCATCCAGAGACCATGGATGGGATGCTGTTGGCTGCCCATCATCCTGTAGGCCAGGTACCCAAAGCCATCCTCCTCCTGCTTCCTGCTCTTCCCAGGCAGGATGTGGGTGGTCTTGGCACCCTTGGGTGGGTGCCCAGTGCCCTCCTGGTCCCACCCATCCCTTCCCAGCCCCATCCACCCCTGCCTGGGCAGGCTGGAGGTGCCAAACCCCGGCGCAGGCGAGCGTCGGGTTAACTTTATCAGAAGCCCAAGAGCCGTGAAGGCGTGAAGGAAGAAATTAGCCTAACAATGTTTCATTTACAGCGGGAGAAACGATTTGTTAGCTGGCGATTGTTTCTGAATATTATCAGAGCCTTTTTAATTGTGCTGGAACTGAAATTAGCAGAATTAGAATAAATTGCCTTCCCTTCTCCGGCAGCCTCTTTATTCACGCTCATTGTTGTGTGCTTTGTATAGATTATGGGTTCTTTGTTCTGCTGCTGTAAATATACATGCCTGGAGTCACGGCGAGCAGCTGAGGTCTGCAGACGGGCTGGCCCCGCTCTGGTCCCCCCGTGGTCCCCAGTCCCGGGCCCGGCAGCCCCCGGCGTCGTGTGGCACCAGCCATGTGTGCCACCGGGGCTGGGCCGTGCCTGCCTGGCTGGGGACACGGCTGCGTTGCCATGGAAACGGCCGAGAGGGATGGCAGGGCTGGGGGGTGTCCCCCGTGTGCACCCTGTTTGTCCCCGTGTCCCCCTGCGGTGCCATCCCTGGGGTCTGTGTCACCTGTCGGATAAGGGGTGGTGGGGACCATTTCTGGGGTCCCTTTTGGGGACAGGTGATCTGCACGCACCCCTCTTGCTGCCAGGCTGATTCCCCACAGTGCCACAGGGAGGGGACACCTGGAGCAAGACATGGCCACTCTGCAAGGGGACAGTGTTCCCCAGGGAGCTGCTCTGCAGGGATGGCCACGCAGGGCTTTCCCTTCCTTCCCCGTGGGGCATTTCCTGCCAGCATCCTGGTTCCCAGCTGGGAAATCCCCCTGGCACCTCTTCCCCCCGGCTGTGCCCTCCTCACCGCCCTGTCCGTGTTCCCACAGGGTCCCTGGCAGCGATGGAGGAAGGTGAGGATGCCCCGGCAGGGGACAGGAGCCCCTCGGAGAGGGACGGGGCCGCCTCGGACTGCGAGGGCTCCGCCGAGCGCGACACCTGCAGCCCCCCCGGCAGTGAAGGTGAGCCCGGGCTGTCCCTGCTGTCCCCTCCCCATGGGGACAGGCGCTGCCACCAGAGCAACCTGCAGGGTGTTAGCTCAGGAAGCAGCCTGGCCACCCCTCGGGGCTGGGGGCAAGTGACAGCTCTGTGTCCCTGGGGGGTTCCATGCCTCTGGGGACAGCCCAGCTTGCAAAGTTGTGTCCCTTGGGGTGTAGAGTCACATAGTCAGGGTTTAAAGTGACCTTTCACAGGGATCTAAAGTGACTTTTGGGATATAAAGTGACCCCTTAGGTGCAGAGTGATCCTTGCCCTTACCCTGGGGTGCAAAGTCACGTTCCCTTAGGGTGCAAAGTGTCCCATCCCAGGGATGCAGGGTGACCTCTCGGGGTGCAAAGTCACATCCTGTACCACACAAAGCTCCTCTCCCCACCCACGATGAAAGTCACGTCCCTTGGGGTGCAAAGTTCCCCCTCCCGAGGGGACAAAGTCACATCCCTTGGTGTACCAAGTGACTCCCCCGGCGTGCCAAGCAGCCCCAGGGGCTGCAGCTGGTGGCCCTGGCAGTGGCAGGGGTGGGCTGGGGGCACGGGGCCGTTGGTGGCACCGTGCTGGCCACGCGGCCGCCAGGCTGCCGCCGTGCCGTGCCGAGCCGTGCCGCGCCCCAAAGGTGGCTGCGGCTCAGGGCCGGGCTGAAACAGTCCCAGATATCCTCCGAGTTCCTTCCTGTGGAGGTGGGGGCAAATCCCAATCAGTTAATGTTTGCAGTGCCCTTTGAGATAACGGCGCCGGGGCAAGGCTGCGCCGCCTCAGCGACACGGCTCCCGGCAAACCCCGCTGCCTCCAGCTGCAGCCGGGGACAAGCGTCCCCAAAAGCAGGGCAGCCAGGCCACGGAGCACCAGGGATCCACAGCAGCTGGGGCAGGGAAGGACCCCGACAGCCGGGATGGGGAAGGGATCCTGGGAGTTGGGGCACGAGGGATCCCGATAGTTGAGTAGGGAAGGGACCCCAACATTTGGGGCAAGGAAGGGACCCTGATAACCCCAACAGGATGAGGTGGGGGATCCTGGGAGTTGGGGCACGAGGGATCATGATAGTTGAGTAGGGAAGGGACCCTGATAACCCCAACAGGGTGAGGTAAGGAGAGATCACAAGGCAGGAAAGGGACCCCAATAATGGGGGGCAAGGAAAGGACCTCAGTAGCTGGGGCAGGGAGGGGACCCCAGTATTTGGGGCAGGCCAGGGACCCCAAAGCTGGGACAAGGAGTGGACCCTAGTTGGAGCAAGGAGAGACCCCGATTTCAGCAAAAGGACCCCAACAGGCAGGACAAGGAAGGGATCCTACAGCAAAGCAGGGCAGGGAGCCTGATAATTGGAACAGGGAGGGGACCTGATAAGTGGAGCAGGGAAGGGACCCCAGTACCTGAGTCAGGGAGGTCTCCCAGGCAAACTTTGCTCGGTGGTGGAGGGAATCAGGGCTCTTATCTGATGGGGGAGCCGGGCTGGGGGCGAGGAGCCGAGCCGGGGCGCGGAGCTGCACCTGGCACTGGCCTGCCTCGATAAAGAGGTGATAGCAGAGATAAGGCCCAGCAGCAATAACGGCCACTAAAGCTTTCAGCGCGATGGATAAAAATCGATATGCCAGGCACTTTGATTTATAGCCAAAAATAATAGGACTTTTATACCCGGTGATTGATTTATTTGATGTTAATCATTGCGCTTATCACCTGTATTAATAATCTCCAATGGCGGTGACGTCACCCCTGGGCGGCCGCGGTGGCGCCGATCGATTGGGCTCCGCTGCTCGATCCGCCCGGGACGCCAAGGCAAACATGTACTTTGGGCACTAATCTGCCACACTGTCATATGCAGATTGCCTTTATCAGCCCATCTCCAGCAGCAGTTAATGGAGAAAATAATTGTTATCAAGTTGCTATGAATACGCCGCAAATAGAGCCGTGAGGGGAGCGGGGCTCGGCCCGCCGGCGTGGCGTGGCACGGCTGTGCCAGGGGTTTGGGCTGGGGTGCAGGGGCTTGGCTGGGCTGGTGGGGCGTTCCCAGGGGGATGTGGATCACATCCCCACCCCGGTGTCGCTGCTCCGGTGGTCCCAGCCCCTGTGGAATGCTGCCTCTGGAATGCCCTGCTCCTGACCTGCTGCCTTCCCCTCCTGCTGCAGAGTCCAGAGATGCTCTGGAGAGTCCCAAGGAGCCAGAGAAGCCTGATCCTGGAGAAAACCCCCAGGAGCCAGACACCTGGAATGGGCCAGGTGAGTCTGCTGTGGGGGCATCCTCTCCATCCCAGTGTCCTGACTGGATGTGCTGGAGCAGCCCTCCAGCATTCACCTCCTCCTGCAAGCACCAGTATGAGAGCAGGACTGGGAGCTGGGCAGGCTGCAAACCCCAGAACTCCTGCTGGAGGGGAGGTGTGAGGTGGTGGTTGTCATCCCTGACATCTCCAGGGTGCTGTTGGGATGGTAAAACCATGGATTTGGGAGCAGCAGGGATGCCATCCCCGCAGCTGGCATCACACTCCCTGGCACTGGCAGGGTTTGGCCCGTCTTGTGTCACACCAGAGCACTTCACCAACATCCTGACAACCACAAGAGCGACGCTGGGGTGGTTTGGTGATGGTTATCAAAACCCCAAGGAGCAAATTCAGCCTCTATCTCCCCCTGGTATCTCCACGACAGGGCGGCGGGCACCGGGGCACCAGCGAGGCCAGGCTGGCCCTGTGGGCAGCCCCAGCCCTATCAGCCACTATCTCCAAAGCCACGGGGTTACAGATGGGTGCCACACGGATTCACAGAATCACGGAATGCCTGGGGCAGGGGGGGAGCTCTGGAGATCATCCAGCCCAAGGCAGGGACACCTGGAGCAGGAGACACATCCAGGTGGGTTTGGGATGGCTCCAGACAGGAGACCCCACACCCCTGGGCAGCTGTGCCACCCTCCATGGGTAGTTCTTCCTCATGTTGAGGTGGAACTTCCCGTGGTTTAGTTTGTCCATCACTCCTCGTTTCGGGTGAGTTGTTCTGTTGGGAACAGCTCCTGGCAGGTGGATGGGGATGGCACCAGGGGGACCTGGCACCCCCAAGGGTGAATGTGCCACATTTCAGGCCCCGTGGGTGCTGCCCACAGCCTGCTCCTCCCTTTGGGGGCAGCGCTGGGCAGTGTGACCCCGCTGAGGACAGCCATGGCCCTTTGGGGATGGCCGCAGCGGGCAGGCCCCGCTGTGTCCCCAAGGCCAGCAGGCTGCGGTGCCTCGGGAGCCTGGGAAGCGGTGCCTGCCAGCACACGTGCTCCTGCAGCTGCCCAGGTCCCCAGGGAGCCCCGCTCCCTCCCCTTCCTGCCGACCCCGCTGATATCCCGGCCCTTCCTGCGTGCCGGCCAGGAAGGAGCTGCGAGGCCACCCCCGGCTCCTCCTTATCTGCTCCCAGCCCTTTGCCCCAGCGCTCCGGGACCCCAGGGCAGGGCGGGAGTGGGCTGCAGCTCCCACCCCCCAGATCCCCCCATTCCTTAGGGGGTCACCGCACCCCACTCATCCCAAAGCTCCCGGGAGGATCCTGGCTGAGGCCGTGCCTCCCCTTCCCCCTCGCCTCTGGGGGAGCGGGGTTATTCGCATTCTTTATGTAAAAGAGATTTTATTATCGGGGCCCGGCAGCCCCTCTGCGTTCTGGTAATTGCCGCGGTGTCGATGGCGGTGCGGCTGGAGCTGCCGGGGTCCGGCGATGCCGCGCCGATAGGGCGTTCCTCCCGCGCCAACCGCCGCCACGGCCCGGCTATCAGGGGCTCTGCAGGCTCGCCACTTATCAGGGATGGAGCTGGCGAAAAGGGAAGCTGGGAGCTGCCTGAATTTTCTGCTTTATCTGGCGGGATCCGCCGGGTGTCAGCCGTGGAGGATGCGCCGCGCCCGGGGGGGTTCTGTTCTCGGCCCCCCGGGAGCTTTGGGGGGTCACTGGGTCACCCCCGCTGTGGGATGGTGTTCCCAGAGGTCATCCCGCTGTTCCAGAGGGGATGTGGCATGCTGGACCTCGCCCTGGGGCTGCCTGGCCCCACGTGGCAGGAGGAAGAAGGATTTTGGTTTAGCTTTGAAATGACCTTGTTCCCTGGAGGGGGATGAGGCTTGTCCGGCTGATGGGCAAGTTCCCAGGAGCTGGAGGCTGAAATCCCAAATTTAGGAGTGTTTACAGAGGTGCCACCCTTCATCCAGAGTGCTGGGACAGCCTGGCTCTGTTCTGCTTGCCCGTGGGATCATGGGTGGAGCGTGGCCATGCCCTGTGCTCCCTCCATCCTCTGCCGGGGCTGGAGGCAGGATGTTCGTCCTTCCCAGATTGCTCCAAACCATCCCAAATTCCCCCAAACCTCTCCCCACAGCCCCAGGGGATGGAGCCCCCCTCCATCCATGCCTCAGGTTTCCATCTTTCCCACTCATTTTGGTTTGCCCTGGACAAGGGTGGGTAGCAGAGAATTTTGGGAGCAGCCTCCAGCTCCCATGCCAGGGCTGCCCCATCCCTGCCCAGCCAACCTCAGCAATTCCAGCCAGCTTTCCCAGAAGGATAAGAGGAAAAACTCTGACAAATTTCCCATGGAGCCAGGGCAGGAATGCAGCAGAGAAGAGCCCTGCTGAGGGACAGGCTGCTCAGCTCGTGATGAGCCAGCAGAGAATTCCCACGGGGAGCTGCTGGGAATCCTGGATTCTTCCCTTTCCACCAGGTAGGATGGAGCTTTTTGCTTTTTGTCCTTGTGGGGACACCACAGGCAGGGACAGGATTGGAGGAGCTGTGACTAAACCCATTCTTTTGCATTATCCCACCCAGCCATGTCCCACCTGGGAATTCCCAGGGAATTCTTCACCCCCTTCCCTGCACCAGCATCGCTGTTTGCAGCTCCACCTTGCTGAGCCCCAAGCCCTGCTGCTGTCTTGCCTGTTTGGGCTTTATTTAATAACTAATTCCTAATTATGAAATATGAATTTAATATTAATATCTCCTCTGGGCAGTAATGATGGCTCTGGGTCGATTACAGAGCTCAGGCTCCTCTCCTGATCCCCCAAACCCCTCATCTCCCATCCTCCATATCAGGATGGCACAGAGCAACTCCTCTTTTTTATTTTTTTGTGCATCTAATTAAAACTCCCAAGTCCTTTTTTTCCCCCCCCCTTTTCCTCCCAGCTCCCCCTTCCCTTCAGTTGTGTTTATCTCCCTCTTCAATAATCTCTGGCTGCCCAGGGTTTGTCTGGAAACCTCAGGGTTCATTATCGGGGCGAGCAGGGCACAATGGGGGGGACGGCTGGTCCGGGGGGGCAGGGCCCTGCCACATCTGCCCCATCCCTCCCCCTCCACCCTGGTATGTGTGGGTGGGAAAAATCATCCCAGCAATTCCCTGTTATCGCTGGGAGCAGAGCAGCAGGGAGCTGTGTCTGTGGGAGGCTGCGGGGGGATGGGGGCACTTGGGATTCGGGGCACTGGCACCCCCAGAGCCCCAAACCAGGGGTGCCCAGCGCCCTGAAATCCTCCCCCTGCCCCACGGGTGTCCTGCCAATGGCAGCGGGGTGGGGACGGTCCCAGCAGGGATCCCTGGATTTGGGATGGGGAAGGGCACCCGTCCCTGCTGGGGGATGTCCTCCTGTGCCTGGGTCACTGCAGGGTGCAGGGGACAGCTTGGGGACACTGAAGGGATGCTCCAACTGGTCTGGGGACGTTGCTGAGTGGAAGGATGATCAGACTGGTTTGGGGACAGTGACAGTGTGGAGGGATGCTCAGGGTGTTGGGGACAGTGACAGTGTGGAGGGATGCTCAGGGATTTTGGGGACAGTGACAGTGTGGAGGGATGCTCAGGGTGTTGGGGACAGTGACAGCGTGGAGGGATGCTCAGGGATTTTGGGGACAGTGACAATGCAGAGGGATGCTCAGGGTGTTGGGGACAGTGACAGTGTGGAGGGATGCTCAGGGATTTTGGGGACAGTGAGAGCATGGAGGGATGCTCAGGGTGTTGGGGACAGTGACAATGCAGAGGGATGCTCAGGGTGTTGGGGACAGTGACAGTGTGGAGGGATGCTCAGGGTGTTGGGGACAGTGACAGCATGGAGGGATGCTCAGGCATGGTTCCCATTTTCCCTGGCATTTTCCAGTGTCCTGCACTCTCGTGGTGAGAGCCCTGAGGACGACGCCTCCAGGCTGGTGCTGATTGACAGCTGTCAATCACTCACCTTACTGCTCTGCCCTGCCTGGATCTGAGGCCCGGTGGGGATGTGGGGCTTGGACCCCCCTCCTCCATCTGGGTGCCCCCTCCTGGGGGTGCTCCCACCCCCCTCAGGCTCTGTGGCAGAGTCCCCCTGCGGTCCCCTCCCCTTTTCCGGACGGGATATCTTCCCTCTGCATCGGCTCCGGGGGCCCCTGCATCCCCTTCCTCCCCAGCTTCCTGCCCCCCCAGTGCCCCTTCCCTCTGCCTGGGCACAGCCAGGGGTCCCAGCAGCCCCGGAGAGGGGACAGGGTGTCCCTGGCACGGGGGTCATGCCATGCTGGCAGCCCCGGGGCAGCCAGGAAGTTTTCCTCACTCCCATCCTTCCTGAGTGCTTTCTGCTGTTTTTTCCCCAGTGTTTATTCCTGTCCCCAGGACACAGGTCACAGGTCCCGTGTGTTTCCTGGATGTCCCTTGTGAGCCCCAGGGAACAGGGGCTGCCTAGGGATGGCAGCACCCCAGGCATGGGAGCCCCTTGGGAGGGGGCCATGAGTGGGGACAGAGCAGGGACAGGGCACAGAGGTCCTGGCAGCCCCAGGGAAGCCAGGAACTTTTCCTGTTTCCCATCCTCCCTGAGCTTTTCCTGACCTTATTCCCAGTGTTTCCATCCACATCCCTGCAGGCACAGGTCCCAGTTGTTCCCTGGGATGGGAACCCCTTGTCATGGGATGGCAGCACCTCAGGGATGGGCACCCCTTGGGATGGGGACCCTTCCCAGCCCCATCCCGGCAAGGCACAGCAACACCCCAAAGGCAAATGTCCCGGGAATGCTTATCAGCCCATCCTGCAGGGGCAGGGCACCCCAGCTTCCGTGGGGTGATCCCAGGGAACACGTGGCACGGCCGGTGCCACCCCGCTGCCAGCGCCTGCCAGCTGTGCCCCACAGCTGGCAAGCAGGGGAGAGCCCTTTTGGGGTGCAGCCCCTCCTGTGTGTGCAGCCCCCCTGTGCAGCCCCCCCGGGCGCTGGGTGGTGCCCAGGGGCAGGGCCTGGCTGCTCCATTACCCCGGGGCAGGGTTCAGCCCGATAAGGAGTCGCTTTTGGACTCGGGCAGCAAACAATCAATAGGTGGCAAGCGATGGGCAGCAGAGATAAAGGCAGAAATCCCCCCTGGCTCCCGCCCCACCGGGGCCTCCCCTGCACCCCAAACCGGGGGGCAGAGCCACAGCCACCCCTCTCCATCCACAGGGCTGAGCCCAAGCAGAGCTGAGCCCAGCAAGGCTCGATTTAAACCCTCCTCACTCCTTTGTCGTCCCCAAGGCTGCCCTGATTACTCGAGCACCCGGGACGGCAAAGCCGGGATAATCTCCTTAGCCCCTTTGGAGAGATTTCCCTTTGTGAGCGGAGGTGAAGAGTGGAGATGCTGCGTGTTCACAGCTTAAGACTCTTCCCAATCGGCTCCCTCCATCTTATCGGAGCGGTGCCATCACATCATTGCAGTAGTTGAGTTGTCAGGATTTATTCCTTCCGCCGCGCTCTCGCCGCTTCTAAAAACAGCAGCTGGGGCTGGGCCGGGGCTGCTGGGGGAACTGGGGGGAACTGGGGCTTCTCCAGCTGGGATTTCCCCAGGCAGGAGCAGGGGAGCCATGGCAGGTTGGGTGGCCATTGATGGATCCATCCCTCCCTCCATCCCTCTGCCAGGCCAGCTCCTGCAGCCCCCCACGTTTGCTCCTGGATGTTCCAGAGGTGCAGCCACATCCAGGCACTCCCATCTGCTTTCCTTGCAGGAGGGAAGGGCAGAGGGGCCCCAGACAAACCCACCCATCCCATTCCAAGCTGCTTCCACATCCCTTTGCCTCAACTGCATCCACAGGAGTGGAATCACATCCAAACGAACTGTTCAGCCCCTCAGGAGGAATCTGGATGTCCATCCCTCCATCCATCCCCATCTCCAGTCTCCATCCCCAGGGCTGGATCAGCCCCCCAGCTGGCACAGGGCTCTGAGTTCCATGGGAGCAGGATGGCTGATCCCGGGATGTGATCCCATGACACACTGATAGCAGTATTTATCCTGATTGTATCCAGGCAGCTGCAAACACTGCAGGGACCGCCGAGCCCGGGTGCCCACCGAGGGCCAGAGCAGTTGGTCTGGATGTGGTTCAAGCCCTCTGGGTGCAGCTGAGGCAAAGGGATGAGGGAACAGTTTGGGATGGGATGGGGAGGGATGAGTGGGTTTGTCCGGGGGCCCTCTGCCCTTCCCTCCTGCTCGCTCCCACAAGGAAAGGAAATGGGGGTGCCTGGATGTGGCTGCATCTCCAGAGCTTCCAGTGCTGCTCCTGGCAGTGCCACTCCTCTCCCTGGCCCTGGGAGTGCTGTGGTCACCGTGCCCGTGGGCTCTGGCCTTCCTCTCCATCACACCCCGTGCTGGAGGTGATGCCTCCCTGGAATTGTGCACCCCCACAGGCTTCCTCCCTCCCCTGTGCCCACCTGGACCCTGGGGATGGGCAGGAATGTGGGTGCCAGCCATGCCTGCTTGGCCATGGGGTGGTGACAGGATTAATCTTTGCTCCTGGCACAGCTCAGCCACAGATTCCTGTGGAATCTCTCGATGGGAAGATAAGCTGGGAGCAGCCCCTGTTCCCAGTCCATGTCACACCAGGCAGGTGAAACCCGGCTCTCTGGGCTTTTCCCTCCTTCCTCCCTTCCTGCTTCCCTTCCTTCCTTCCTCCCTGCTGCTTTTCTCTGTGCCCCAGAGCAAACAGGCCGGTCCCTGCCCAATTTGGTTAATGAGCTGGGAGATAAGCCCTGCTCCCTGATAAGGAGGGACCGATGGCCAGGTGAGATACCTGGGGGGTGTTCACCTGCCAGGGGATCCCACAGGGAGCTGCAGCCCAGGGACTTTGCTCCAGGACACCCCAGGGGCTGGCAGAGCTCTTCCCAGCCTTCAGGCAGCGGGCTGTGCCTGGATCCGTGGTGGGATCCCTCCCTGCAGCCTGGTGGTCCCACTGGGGACACAGCTTGCTGCCTTTGGGCTTTGTTCCCGGCGTGGAGCACACAGCATCTCCCAGGCCTCCCCACCATTTCCCTGTTCCCTCTCAGCTGTGTGTTTAGCTGGAAAAATCCTCTTTTCCCTCCTTTTTCCCCTCGCTGTGTTAACGTGGGTGCAGCGCAGGGGCTCTGGCAGCATCCCTGGCTGGCTCACCCCGCTGGAGGAGCTCCCAGCACATGGAGCAGGGGTTCAGCACCCTCACTGGGGTTCCAGCACCCCGTTTGGGGTGGGTGGAGGCCGCGGGGTGCTGGAAGGAGCAGGGCTGGCTGTGGCAGCACTATTTTTGTCCCCCTGTCTGGAACGGTTTTCTCTTTATCAGCGCCTGCGTGTTTTCTCTGCTGGGGATTGATACACACAAGATGAAGTGCTCTGACATGGGAAGTGTCAGGCGAATGCTCTTATCTCGGAGACATGGTCTCCTGACCCAAACGCTGCTGATTACCAGTGAGCCGGGGAAGGGGGGGCACCCGCAGGGGGACGTGGCTGTTGGGCCAGAGCTCCCCAAAAGCAGCCGGGAGCCTCGGGGTGGCAAAGCCAGAGGGGAGCCAGCACTGCTGGGGGTTTAGGGGTGGTGGGGAGGGTGGCAGGGACCAGCTTGGTGGCCCCGAACACCTCGGGGATGCTGAGGTTGGGGGGAGTCCAGCACGCCTTTGGGAATCAGATGGGAGGCGCTGGAAATGTGGAATGATGTGAGGGTGTGACTGCCCCGCTCAGCCCCGAGGCCACTCTGGTGGTCACTCTGCTCCCTGCCTGCCCCAGTCCTTCACGGACGCTTCCTCAGGCTCAGTTTGTGCCAGGGAATAAATCCCAACAGCTCCTCAAAGGCCTCATCCCTCCTCCTCTTCCTCCTCCTCCTCCCTGTGCTGAGGTGGAGCTGCTGGGGAAATGGGCAGGGGGATGCAGGGCAGGAGGATGCCAGGGATGTGGGGTGGCAGGATGCCAGGGATGCCGGGCAGGCACAGCCTGTGCCATGCTCATTCCCAAAACCCCTTTGCAGGGATGAGATCCCAGCTAGAAACAGAGCTGGATCTCCGTGGCCGGGGTGGCTTTGGGAGCTCCAGGGGCTCCCAGGCTGTGGGATTGGGAATGCAGCACGGGGGAGCTGAGGCAGAGCCCATCCCCAGCAGTGCTGGGGGCTGTGGCACAGGGCTGGAGGGTGCCAGGGTGACCCCAAACACCCCCCAGACCTCACAGAACCAGCGGGCTCTGCCCAGGTGGCACCGGCTGCTCCCCGGGCTGTGCTCCAGGCAGTCCCCAGTGGCCCGGGGTGGGCAGAGGGGACCCGCGGGTGGCAGTGGCACCTGGGCGATGGCAGGTGACACCTCCCAGTCGCTCACCTCAGCTCACCCCAGCGCCGGGAGGATCCAGATGTCAGCCCTGCTAATAAACACATCAGATTTCAATCTCAGCCATGGGATCGCTTTATCCTCCCCGCGCTCCCGGCTCCAAAGGCAATTTTACCTCCAGCCAGCTCAGCCTCCTCCCTGCCCAGGCACCCGGGACCGGCCTCGGGGCTTCGGGGGCTCTTTGTGCTGCCCTGCCGGGGCTCGGGCACACGGGCTGGCCCCGGGGAGCTGCGGGGCTTTGGGGGGCAGGCAGCACATCCATCGGGGTATTGGTTACCTGCCATCTTATCTGCGCTCCCAAAGACAAAGGCACAGTTAAAACATTTTCGAGCAGCCTTCATAGCGTATTCACATGTTATCTAACCCATTAAACCAGAGCCTTATCAGATAATCAAAGCCATTAAGCCCTGAAGCTGCTGCGACTTTGGGTGCGGGGATGGGAAACGCTCCTTCCGCCAGGCCCGGACCCCCGGGAAGGGGCTGGATCCCCCCGGGATGGGGCTGGATCCCCCCTGGAATGGGCTGGATCCCCCCGGGATGGGGCTGGATCCTCCTGGACAGGAGCTGGATCCCCCCTGGATGGGCTGCATCCCCCCGGGATGGGGCTGGATCCCCCCGGGATGGGGCTGGATCCCCCTGGGATGGGGCTGGATCCCCCCGAGATGAGCTGAATCCCCCTGGACAGGGGCTGGATCTCCCCGGGATGGGCTGGATCTCCCCGGGATGGGCTGGATCTCCCCGGGATGGGCTGGATCCCCACGGGATGGGCTGGATCCCCCCGGGATGGGCTGGATCCCCATGGGACGGGGCTGGATCCCCCCGGAATGGGCTGGATCCCCCCGGGATGAGCTGGATCCCCCAGGATGGGGTTGGATCCCCCCGGGATGGGCTGGATCCCCCCGGGATGGGGCTAGATCCCCCAGGGATGGGGGCTGGATCCCCCCGGAATGGGCTGGATCCCCCCGGGATGGGCTGGATCCCCCCGAGATGAGCTGAATCCCCCCGGGATGGGGCTGGATCCCCCTGGGATGGGCTGGATCCCCCCGAGATGAGCTGAATCCCCACGGGATGGGGCTGGATCCCCCCCAAGATGAGCTGAATCTCCACGGGATGGGCTGGATCCCCCCGGGATGGGGCTAGATCCCCCAGGATGGGGTTGGATCCCCCGGGACGGGGCTGGATCCCCCCAGGACGGGGCTGGATCCCCACGGGATGAGCTGAATCCCCCCGGGATGGGCTGGATCCCCCAGGATGGGGCTGGATCCCCCCGGGATGGGCTGGATCCCCACGGGACACCCCCAGCAGCTCCCGGCTCCAGCGGGGGGGCACACGGCCGGGGTTTGGGGTGCATCCCGCTGATGCTGTGGTGTCTCCCCGCACAGACGAGCTGGCTCTGGAGGTGCGGGATGGGCAGAGACGGGTGCGGAGCCGCCGGAGCCTCCCCGAGGGCTTCTGCTGGGGCCCCTTCCCGGGCAGCATCCACAGCGAGCCGGCATCGCCGCGCCACGGCGACACGGTAAGGAGCACCCCAGGGCACGGTGCCGGGGCAAGGGCCCAGGAAACGAACTCCTCGGGAAGAGAAGTCCCTGGGGGCTGCTCAGCCCTGGGAGTCTCCTGGGCTGGGGTTTCCCTGCCAGCCGAGGGCGGTCCCGGTTGCCATCCCCTCTGCACAGGCTGCTCGGTGGCACCTGTCTCCTCACAGAGGAGGTGGGATCTGCCTTTCCCACCCCGGATTTGCTCCCTGGGACTCTGCTGGTGTCTGGAAAGCAGCAGCAGCCGTGGGGAAGGTGCAGGAGAGGAGCACTGAGGGGACACCAAGGGGCTGGTCGCTGTTGGTGCCATCACTGGGGGAGCAGCAGAGGAGGGAGGTGGCCCTGAGTGTGACTCTGGGTGTTTTGAGGCTCTGGATCCTCCATCCCAGCCACGTCCTTCCCTCCACATCCCCCCCGAGCTGCACACAGGCAGCTCCAGCCCAGGATCCTCCAGCCCTGGCTCCATCCCCACCTCTTCCTCCTCCTCCTCCTCTCTCCTTTGCTCTTTTTTTTTTCTTTTCTTTTTTTTTTTGAGCTCAGGCCCGTTTATCTTTGCTGAATTAAATCCTTGATTAACCCTTATCTGCCCAGTTTGGCTCCCTATCTCCCGCTTGGCGCCGTGTGTCCAGACACCCTGTACAGGATGATTGATTTCCCCAAGATATGCGCAGCTTTTTTTCTGATACTTCATTTATTGTCTAAATATTTTTGCTCCCATTTCAGCAGCTCCCTTATCGAGCCCGGCTGATGATTCCCAGCCCTGCTCTCCTCTGCCACTCTCCTCCCTCCCTATCTGTGCTCAGGGAAGGGAGGAAGGAATTGCAGCCCCATCCCTGATAGGGGCTGTCACCCTCAGGTCCCTTCCTCTTTGTTGCTGGCGGTGGTGGGGGGGGTGCAGGGGGTCTCCCCCAAATCCTGCCTGGCTCTGCTCTTCGTCTCCGTGTGGGAGGTGATCCCAGCCTGGGGTTTTGGTGGGAGCACTGGGTGGCTTTAATGTTCCCTGATGTGGAGCACCCATCTGCTGAGCGAGGAGAAAGAACAGGAGGGAAAAGAGCAGCAGGAGGAGGAGGAAGATGCCCACTGATCCCACAGGGCTCCCCCAAAAAATCCTTGGGGAATTTTTTCCACACCTCGGGAGGGTGTGGAAAGGCCCTGGCAGACAGCTCAGGGTGCCAGGGGAAGGTGAAGCCCCTCCGGGACCGTCCCCCGAGCCCGTCCGTGCCGTGTCCCCCCGGGCCGGGCCGGGGCCGTGCGGATGCGCGTCCCGGCGGATGCGGAGCGGGTCGGGTTTCGATGGTTATCGCCGGTGTGCGGCGAGACAGCGACCTCTTTGTTCCTGGAGAACAAGGAAGGGCTTCACGCCGGGCTGGGGCCGCCGCGGGGAGCCCGGGGGGCACCCGGGGGTGCTGGGAGCACCTTGGGGTGCTGCGGGGTCCCGGGCAGCCCCTCCATCCAGGGGTACCCGCAGGTGTCCCCATGCCGGGAGCAGAATTCCCAAGGAATCCTCCTCTCCCCGAGGGGGCTCTGCCCATGTGGTGCCAGCAGTGCCCATCCCTGGGGGGGTGCAGGGGGTCCCAAAGCCCCCAGCCCCATTTCCCGTGTCCACAGGGGCAGGGGGTGTTCCCTCACCACCATGAGAGGGGCACACGCCTGTGCCAGTGTCACACCCGTGTGTCACACCTGTGTGCCAGAGTGTCACACCCCTGTGCCAGTGTGTCACACATGTGCCAGTGTCACACACATGTGCCAGAGTGTCACACATGTGCCAGTGTCACACCCCTGTGCCAGTGTCACACCCTGTGCCAGTGTGTCACACATGTGCCAGTGTCACACACATGTGCCAGTGTCACACACGTGTGTGGGGGGCTTTATCACGCTGCCAGCACTCGGCTCCTGGCAGTGATAAGACCCCAACTGGCTGCCACTGTCAGGCTGAGTTGGAGGGGTTGGAAATATTGGGATGGATAATTAGATTTCATATCGTTACTGCAGCAGCCATCGGAGGATCAGGGAGATTAATTTCCCCCCCCTGTGCTCATTAATATTCATTAGAATGCGGGGAGGCTGAGCTGAGAGTGCTGTGCCCCCCTGGCAGCCCCTCAGTGTGACCCCAGCCCGTTTTGGGGAGTGCTGTGCCCCCCTGGCAGCCCCTCAGTGTGACCCCAGCCCGTTTTGGGGAGTGCTGTGCCCCCCTGGCAGCCCCTCGGTGTGACCCCGGTGCTGACCCCTGTCCCTGCCCCACAGAGTCCCCCCCTGACGCTGGTGCTGGGGGACGAGAGCTGCTGGCTGTCCCTGCTGCCCCTCGTGCCTGGAGAGCCCGATGCCAACGCTGTCATCTACAGGAAGGGTTGGTACTGGGGGCAGGGGGGTGGGAAGGGTCCCCATCCCTGTCCCCTGTCCCAGAGTCTGCTCCCCCTGTCCCACTGCTGGCTTGTCCCTGTCCCAGCTTCCCTGGGTGGCTGCAGCCAGTGGGGCTGGGGAGGGGCACAGCAGGGATGGGCACGGGGATAGGAGCAAGGATGGTGTAAGGATGGCACAGGGATGGTGTAAGGATGGCACAGGGATGGTGTAAGGATGGCACAGGGATGGATGCAGGGATGGGCACAGGGATGGTGTAAGGATGGGCACAGGGATGGGCACAGAGATGGTTGTAAAGATGGGCACAAAGGTTCAGGGATGGGCACCAGGATTGGCAGAAGGGTGAGTGCAGAGATGGGTGTAAAGATGGATGGATGTAGGGATGGGTGCAGAGATGGGCACAGGGATGGGGGCAGGGATGTCACAGGGATGGATGAAGAGATGGGCACAGGAATGGGTACAGGGATGGGCACAGGAATGTCACAGGGATGGATGAAGAGATGGGCACAGGGATGGATGTAGGGAAGGGCACAGGGATGGGTGCCAGGATGGATGCAGGGATGGGCACAGAAATGTCACAGGGATGGATGCAGAGATCACCCAGGGATCTCACAGGGATGGGTGCAGGGATGGGCACAGGGATGGATGCAGAGATGGGCACAGGGATATCGCAGAGATGGATGTAGGGATGGGCGCAGGGATGTCACAGGGATCTCACAGGGATGGGCGCAGGGATGTCACAGGGATGGATGCAGAGATCGCCCAGGCATGTCGCAGGGATGGGCACTGGGATATGGATACTGTGGGATGTGTGCAGAGAAGGGCACAAGCCGCTCGGCGGGGCTCAGCGCGGGCACACACCGCCATCTCCAGGCCATGGCCGGCACCGCGGGGACAGGGCGGGACAGGGCCGGCCGGGCGGGTGGCAGCGCGGGCTGCGGCCATCCCCATCCCGCTCACGCTGTCCCCTCGCCGCTGTCCCCTCTGCAGACGAAGCCCTGTGGTGCCGCACGACGCGAGCGCTGCGGGAGGACGAGCCCCTGAGCGCCTTGGTGGTGGCAGAGCCACCAGCTGTCCCCAAGCACGGCGTGAAAGCGGAGCCCGCGGAGTCCCCGTACCCGGCGGCGCTGCACTCGGACATCCAGCTGCTGCCACAGCAGGCCGGCATGGCCGCCATCCTGGCCACCGCCGTGGTCAACAGTGAGGCTGGGGACACGCGGGGAGGGACAGGCAGGGACACGCGGGGAGGGACCTACAAGGAGGGACACACAGGGACATGTGGGGAGGGACAGGCAGGGACACGCGGGGTGGGACGCGCAGGGAGGGACAGGCAGGGACACATGGGGAGGGACACATGGGGAGGGACAAGACAGGGAGGGACACATGGAGAGGGACACACAGGGACACGTGGTGAGGGACACATGGGAAGGGACACGCAGAGAGGGACACATGAGGAGGAACAAGACAGGCAGGGACACATGAGAAGGAACAGGCAGGGACACATAGGGAGTGACACGCTGGGAGGGACATGCAGGGACACACAGGGAGGGACACACAGGGAGGGACAGGCAGGGACACACAGGGAGGGACATGCAGCAAGGGACACATGGGGAGGGACACACAGAGAGGGACACATGGGGAAGGACAAGACAGGGAGGGACGTATGGGAAGGGACACGCAGAGAGGGACACATGGGAAGGGACACATGGGGGGGGACAGGCAGAGAGGGACACATGGGGAGGGACAGGCAGGGACACATGGGAAGGGACACATGGGAAGGGACACGCAGAGAGAGACACATGGGGAGGGACACGCAGGGAGGGACACGCAGGGACACACAGGGAGGGACATGCAGCAACACATGGGGAGTAACACACTGGGAGGGACACGTGGAGAGGGTCACGTAGCACCACAGCCCTGTTGGGGCTCCCCAGCCCATCCCACAGCGATGTCCCAGTCCCCAGGCTGTCCCACAGCGATGTCCCAGTCCCCAGCCCATCCCACAGCGATGTCCCAGTCCCCAGGCTGTCCCACAGCGATGTCCCTGTCCCCAGCCCGTCCCACAGCGATGTCCCTGTCCCCAGCCCGTCCCACAGCGATGTCCCTGTCCCCTGCTCTCCACAGAGGACGTGTTCCCGTGCAAGGACTGCGGGATCTGGTACCGCAGCGAGCGCAACCTGCAGGCCCACCTGATGTACTACTGTGCCAGCCGGCAGAGCGCCGGCGCCGGCTCCCCCGCCCTGGAGGAGAAGCCCAAGGAGACGTACCCCAACGAGAGGGTCTGCCCCTTCCCACAGTGCAAGAAGAGCTGTCCCAGTGCCAGCTCCCTGGAGATCCACATGCGGAGCCACAGCGGTATGGCACGGCATGGCATGGCACTTGTCATCTGGAGGCTTGGGGTGGCAGCATGGTGACCAGTTAGAGAGGCTGAGCCCAGCTGAGCTGCTGGAGGGGCAGGGAGGATGCAGGGCTGCAGCACACTGGGCAGTGGGTGAGGTTCTCCCTGGCTGGTTTGGCACTGCTCACTTGTAGGTCTTCCCCCATCTCAGACCTCTAGAGACAGAGGGAGTTGGCCCTGTGGGTGTCCCCACAGTCCCTGTCCCCCTCCCCTGAGTGTCTGTCTGTCCGGCAGGAGAGCGGCCGTTTGTCTGCCTGATCTGCCTGTCCGCCTTCACCACCAAGGCCAACTGTGAGCGGCACCTGAAGGTGCACACGGACACCCTGAACGGTGAGTGTCCCACGGGGACAGCCCTGTCCCATCCCGGGATGGCCACTGTCCTTCCGCCCTGCCCGCTCAGCCCGGTGCCCTGTCCCCTCAGGTGTCTGCCACAGCTGTGGCTTCATCTCCACCACGAGGGACATCCTGTACAGCCACCTGGTCACCAACCACATGATCTGCCAGCCGGGCTCCAAGGGCGAGGTGTTCTCACCTGGATCAGCCCTTCCTGCTGCCAAACCCCTCGCTCCTGGTGAGTCCTGGGGCTGTGCCATGGGGGACACGGGATGGCATTGTCACCAAGAGCTTGTCCCCAGCTGGGACCGGTGGTGGGAAGGGAAGTGGGGATGAGACAGTGCCAGGACGTTGGGAATGGGGAACAGAGCAGGATCCCTGTGCCAGAGGTGTTGGGAACAGGACATGGCAAGCATCCCTGTGCCAGGATGTGTGGAACAGGGAATGGGGTGAGGACCCTGCCCTGGGGGGTGTCAGTACTGGGGGGACAGGGCAGCACCCCTGTGCAGGGGGATGAGGCAGAGGGGCATCCCAGAGGGGCATCCCTGGACCATTCCCTGTGCCGGGGCTGCCGGTGACGCTGTCACCTCTGTCCCCCTGCAGGGCTGAGCCAGCCGAACAACACGTCCCTGCGGAAGTGCAGCCTGGGCACGTTCCTGCCCGAGGCACTGCCAGCCCTGCCGCAGCACGTGGTGCTGCCCGGCCCCGACACCGCACCGGCACCGCCCGCCTCGCCCCCCGACCCCAGGGCCGGCAAGCTCTCCCCCCCAGCCCAGCCGCAGAACGGGGAAGGCCCTTCATCGGCATCCTCCTCCTCTTCATCCTCCTCCACGTCCGGCGAGCCCGTGCGCGTCAAGGAGGAGCCGGCCGGCAGCCCGGCCAGCGAGGCGGAGGCGCCGAGGAGCGGGGAGGGGGCCGGCAGCCCCGACGCCGGCTCCCGCACCTCGTCCCCCCGCAGCCTGTCCTCGGCCAAGGTCAAGTCGGAGCTGGCCAGCCCCACGCCGGGCTCCAGCCCCGTGCCCAGCGAGCCGGGGACGGGCACGGCCGGCGGCACCGTCTTCCTCCCGCAGTACGTGTTCGGCCACGAGGCCGCCGTGGTGCCGCAGGCCTCGGAGATCCTGGCCAAGATGTCGGAGCTGGTGCACAACCGGCTGAAGCAGGGCCACGGGGCCGGCGCGGTGCCGCCCGCCATCTACACGGGCACGCCGGTGCCCAAGGGGGCCACCTGCTTCGAGTGCGAGATCACCTTCAACAACATCAACAACTACTACGTGCACAAGCGCCTGTACTGCTCCAGCCGGCATCTGGCCGAGGACAGCCCCCCCGGGGCACGCAAGCTCAAAGCCCCCCCCGGGGCGCCCAAGGGTCCCCTCACCCCGGGGACGCTGCTGTCCCCTCCGGCGGGCAACGGGCAGGGCCCGGCAGCGGGGGACGGGGACACCGGCCGGGATCCCACCCCGCCGGCCGCCACGCTGGAGGGCAAGGCTGAAGAGGGGGGCACCAAAGCGGGGTCCCCCGAGGCGGAGGGGGGGTCGGGGCGGTGCAGCGAGGACAGCCAGAGCCCCGGCAGCTCGGAGGGGGACGAGGACCCCAGCAAGACGCTGTGCGAGGCGTGCAACATCCGCTTCAGCCGCCACGAGACCTACGTGGTGCACAAGCGCTTCTACTGCGCCTCCCGGCACGACCCCCCCCTGCGCCGCCCCGCCGCCCCCAAAGTGCCCTTCCTGCCGCAGCCCCTGCGCACCCGCAAGCGCCGCAAGCTCTACGAGATCCACGGTGCCGCTCGGCGCCCCGCAGAACCCCCTCCAGCCCCGGAGCCCCCGCCCGCCGAGCCGCCCGTGCCAGCCCCTGAACCCCGCGCCAGCCCCGACGCCGAGGGTCCCATCGACCTGAGCAAGAAGCCGCGGTGGCAGAGCGAGCTGGCACCGGCACCGGTACCGGCAGCGGCCCCGCTGCTGCCCCTGGCCGACTACCACGAGTGCACCGCGTGCCGCATCAGCTTCAACAGCCTGGACGCGTACCTGGCGCACAAGAAGTACCAGTGCCCGGCCACGCCGCTGCAGCCCCGCACCCTGGAGCACCTGCAGAAGATGAAGGGGGCCATGGCCGCCCCCCTCAAGGGCCGGCTCAGCCCCGGCAGCCCCGGCGAGGGGGACCCCGAAGGAGGGGTGCGGCTGAGAGCGGCCCCGGCGGGGAGCCCCGGCATCCCCTACCCCGGGGCGGACTCGCTGCAGCGTCACCCCAAGGGTTCCCTGCCACCGCCGGGGGCCAAGGGTCCCCTCGCCGCCTGTCCCTACTGTCCCCTCAACGGGGCCATCAAGGGCGACCTCCTGGAGCACTTCCGAAACGCCCACGGGCTCTTCGTGGCCAAGCCGGGGCTCCCGGACGCGCTGGCCCCCGGTGCCAGCAGGACGCCCGAGCCCCCGCTGCCCGCCGCGTCCCCTCCGCGTGCCCCCCGCCTCCGCCGGGACAGCCTCACTGCCAAGGAGGGCAGGGACAGCCCCCGGCCCCCCGGCTCCCCCCGGGCCCCCGCCTCGCCCGGAGCCCCCGAGGGACTGCGGGAAGCCGCCCGCAAGCCCCCCACGCCCCCCGCCTACACGGACAGGGGCGTGCAGACCCCCCCGGCCAAGGCTGTGCCCGGCCCGGTGCCCAACGGCAACCACAGGTACTGTCGCCTCTGCAACATCAAGTTCAGCAGCCTGTCCACCTTCATCGCCCACAAGAAGTATTACTGCTCCTCCCACGCCGCCGAGCACGTCAAGTAACCCCCCCAGAGCCCCCCACCACCGCTGGAGGGGCTGGGGGATGGAGCCGGTGCCTGACACCCACCCTGTGCAGGGGTTGGGGTGATGGAGGACCCCCCCAGGAGGCTCCACCGGGGCAGCTTCAGCATCTGGAGCCCCAAAGTTCACCCGGGTTGGGGGTGAGGACACTGGGGGTGGGGATCAGCCCCCACCTGTGCCCCAGGGGAAACTGAGGCAGGAGGACTGTGCATGGCCCTGCCCTGGGGGCTGCAGGGGGCTTCTCCCCGTAAACACTGCGGGGCTGGGGTGGGGGTGTGGGGGGCACAGGCGTGGCCCCAGCCCCCCAGGAAATCTGGGGGTGCCCCCACCTCAGAGCAGACCCTGCACGGAGGCAGCCCTGGGAGCGAGGCTGGAGCTGCCCTGGGAACTGTGTGTATAAGTGTGTACAGAAATAAATATGTCTGCTAAACTCCTGTGTAGGGTGGGGGACACTGCGGGGGCTGGCACGGCCACCGGCACCCCCAGGGGCCGGGCCTTGGGGACATCGGGTGTGTACAGCCAGGGGTGACAGCAGGGGGAGGACACGATGTCCCCAAGCTGTCCCCAGTGCCCCCCGGGTGGCACCTTCAGCAGCCCGGGGAGGTCGCACATCTGTGCCATGGGGCAAAGTCCTGCTCCCAGATGGGGCTCAGCTGGTGCTGATGGCTCATTAATTATCAAGCTCATTAAGCCCCACAGCGCTGGGTGGGGCTCACCCAGCCACAGGAGCAGTCCCTGCCCTGCAGCTCCAGAGCCTGCCGTGGGTGCCCAGGTGAGTGTGGCTCGGGTCACCCCACAGGGTGACAGGGGAGGATGGCCCTAAGGACCCCCAGGGTATGGCTTCTCACCTCCCCACAGCTCATCCCAGTATTCCCAGTATTCCCAGTCCAGCACCTGCCCGCAGGGGGTTGATCCCCTCCCTCCCACTCTCTCTGGCAGAGGTGCTGCTTCAGGATCATTCTGGGGACAGTCCCCAAGGGCCAGGTCACTGAGTGTGCCCCTAGCTCTGTTTGTTTCCCAGCTGGTATCCCTGGAGCTGCTGGGCCCTTGGGATGCCCCTGGACCTGGCCAGGCCAGCCCCAGCACCCGGGGTTGTGCAAGGCTGGGGTGGGCACAGGGACTGCCCCTGCCCAGGGCTGCCAACGGGGCTGGGGCCCCCAGGGAGCAGAACAGCCCCTCGTGTCCCTCCCTCTGTGCCAGCCCTGCACAGTCAGGGGCATAGGGAGATCTCTCATCCCTTTAAAGGGAGCAAGGACAGGCACAGTGCCAGCTGCCACAGGCCAGGGGTTTGGGGTTGGGCACCCACTGTTGTGGGTGCCTGCAGTGCCAGGGGAGCCTCGGCTCTGTGCCAGGGGGTGGGAGCCAGGCTGTGCTGCCAGGGAGGAGGAGGATGAAGGCAGCAGCTCCCCTGGGGAAGCGCTTGCGACAGGTTCCCTCCTCGCACCTCTTACACCACCAGCTCAGGGTGCCAAGCAGCACAAGGGCTGCGTGTCCTGGGTGTCCCCCCCGCAAAGACCACACAAAACGCAGCTGAATTCAGGAGAACTTTACTTAAATAAATATATTTACAGAGCAGCAGCGATTCCAGAGCAGATTTGGCCACACTCAGCTGGCGGAGTGCAAGGACAGGCTGTGCCAGGCACCGTGGCAGCCTCTGCCCAGGCATTGACCTAGCGGGGTGCTGGACCCCCGAGGGTTGGGGGGACAGCAGAGAGGACAGGCCAGGCCAGCCAGCCTCACTGTGACATCTTCTTGTAGGGCAGGGCAGGGAGGCTGCAGGGCAGGAGGTTCTGAAGGGGCAGCGGGCTCTTCTCCTCTTCCTTCTGCTCCTCCTCGGTGGCATCCAGGAGCTGCTGCATGTAGCACGAGGTGCCCAGCAGGACGTGGCCCGTGGCCTGCATGGTGAACAGCGCCCAGCGCAGGGCTTCCCTAGGCAGGGAGAAAGGGGTCAGCGTGCCACAGGAGGGCTGGGCAGAGTCCCTGTCCCCAGTGTCCCCAGCACTCACTTCACCAGGCGCCGGGCCCCGTAGCAGCGCAGGTCGTAGGACATGCTGTAGGTGCCATACAGGGTGGCTTTGACGTTGAGGCAGCCCAGGTCCTTCGGGTGGGTCTTGTACAGGTCGAAGGTGACGCAGGCGACGTCGATCCTGCGCGGGGGCTTGCGGGACAGGCTCATCTGGTAGCCACGTGTCTGCGGAAGAGCGGCACCGCGGTCACCCGCTGCTCCCCACCCTCCCAATGCCACCTCCAGCGTGGCACAGACGGGACAAACCAGCCTCTCAGGGGTCCCCTCACCTTGGGGGCAGTCCAGGTCTGCCCCTTGCTCAGGGCCATCAGGGCCGTGCCCTCCTCCAGGGTCCGGAAGAAGGACTCAGTCTCCACGGCCGTGCCGTCCTCATCCAGCACCAGCGCGATGGGCGCGGGCAGGGCCAGGGCGCTCTGGGCCTGCGGAGGGGCTGGGGGTCAGCAGGGCTGGGGACAGGCCCTGGACGGGCAGACAGAGCCCGCACAGACAGACAGACCTGGCTCAGCAGCTCGGCGAGGCTCGGGGCCATGACGCCCTTGCGCAGGCTGCGGTCCCAGTTGCACACGCGGTAGGGCCGGGGCGGCGGGGCTGGACCCGCCAGCAGCTGCTGGGTCATGGAGGCGCTGGCCGAGACACATCTGGGAAAGGGACACGGGGATTGGGGTGTTCTGAGAGCCAGCAGGACACCATGGCAGCGCCAGCACCCAGGGAGGGCTCTGGGGGATGTCCCCCATGCTGGGGACAGCAGCTCCACGGCACTTACTTGGACACGGGGGCAGCCAGGCGCTGGCTCAGGGACTTGGCGTAGTCCATGTTCCAGGGAATACGGAGCAGCCTGCGGGGAGGAAGGACAGTGGTTCTTGTCAGCTCAAGATCTGCTCCCACCAGCACGTCCAACTCCGCTCCAGGGGTTCTTCCGCTGCTGTCTGCTCCGGGAGATCTCCCCTCTGCGATCCCAGTGACAGAATTGAGCCTGAGCTCTGTCACCGCTGCCTTTACAGGGGCTGGTCCTGCCCTTTGGCCGGGGCCAGGCCAGCGGTGGCCGCCCGGCCAGAGTCCCCTGCCAGCGGGACTCTTGCGTAAAGGGACACGTGGGAGCCTGAGTCAGCGCTGGAGCAAAGGTGAGACACCAGCCCCGGGCTCCGGGAAACCGGGAGAGTGCAGCCGGGGCTTTGGGGTCACCCACGGGAGCACCCCCAGCCCTGCTGCTCCTGGCGCATCTGCAGCCAGGATCCTCACGGGGGCCCGCGGAGCTCCCATCTCCTCACCTCCAGGGAACGCCAGCTCTTCTCCCGAGGATCACGCCCTCATGTAGCGCCTCTCCTGCCTTTATGTACCTGTCACACAGGCTCCTCCCCGGGGCGCACCCGCCTGCCCGGCCGGGCCCAATGGGGTCGGCTCCGGCTGAGGGGGCACCGGGAACTGGGCAGGGAGAGGGAGCCCGGCGGCTCCGGCTGAGGGGGCACCGGGAACTGGGCAGCCCCGGCTGAGGGGGACCAGGAACCGGGCAGCCCCGGCTGAGGGGGCACCGGGAGCCGGGCAGCTCTGGCTTGAGGGGGCACCGGGAGCCGGGCGGCTCCGGCTGAGGGGGAGAGGGAGCCGGGCAGGGACCAGGAACCGGGCAGCCCCGGCTGAGGGGGCACCGGGAACCGGGCGGCCCCGGCTGAGGGGGCACCGGGAGCCCGGCGGCCCCGGCTGGGTCAGGGCAGGCTGACAGGGATCCCTCAATCCCTGCAGTGTTCCCATGGTGTCACAGGACGGTGCCAGACCGTTCCCAGCCGTGCCCAGCCGCAGGAGGAGCAGCGGTGGCCGCGCACCGAACCACGAGAGGCTCCCCGTGAACACGAGGCACAGCCTGTGCCCGGGGAGGGTGGCAGAGCCCTGGCACGGCTGCCCGGGGCTGCGGGGTCTGCTGTCTGGAGCCGTCCCAAACCCAGCTGGACGTGTCCCTGTGCCACCCGCCCCAGGTGTCCCTGTGCCACCCGCCCCAGGTGTCCCTGCCAGAGCTCCCTTCCACCCCAAGCATCCCCCGATCCTGCGGCGCGCGGGTGCCCCGTCCCGGTGCGTGGGTGCGACCCGGGCACATCTGGAGCCTGGCAGCTCCCTACCGCTCTGCGTGCACGCCTGCACACACCTGTGCTCAGGTGTTCGCGCGTCCACCTGTGCGCGCACACCTGCGCTCCGCCCTTGCCGTGCGCGGCCCCTTTAAGACGGGGGCGGGGGGAGCAGAGCGCGCGCTCCCCTCCCTTCGCGCCGCCGGGGAGGGGGGGGGCGCCGTCGCGCGCGGATGACGTCACGCCATGGCCGCCCTGCGCCGCCGCGAGTAGAGGCCGCTCCGCCGCCCCGTCCCGCGCTGCCGCCGCGAGCGCGGGGCGGGGGCGGCACCGGAGAGCGGGGCACAGGGGCAGCCCCGGGGAGCGGCGCGGGAGAGCGGAGGGGAGGGCCCGGCGGGGCTCGGAGGGGGGTCGGGGCTCGGCCGGGGCGCGCTGGGGGTCGGGCGGGCGCGGAAATGAATGAATTCCCCCGTTCGGCCGGGACTGTGAATGGGAACGGGCGGCCCCGGGCTCGGGGCGAGCGGAGGGGTGCGGGTGGCTGTGACTGTCCCCCTCGGCAGGCAGGGGGAGCAGGGACAGCGCCAGCAGCCGCGGCCCGGGGGCGCAGCAGGAGAGCCCCGCCTGGCAGGAGAGCCTCGGAGGTGAGGGGGCACCGCGGGGACAGTGCCACTCTGCCTCGGCAGGCCCGGCTGGGCTTGCTTTGGCACTGTGGGGTCAGTCCTGGCGTGGGCTTGGGGTTTGTCACCTGTGGGGTCAGTCCTGCCGTGGGCTTGGGGTTTGTCACCCATGGGCTCAGTCCTGAGTGGGTTTGGAGTTTTTCACCTGCACGGTCAGTTCTGAATGGGTTTGGGGTTTGTCACCTGTGGGGTCAGTCCTGGCTTGGGCTTGGGGTTTGTGACCCATGGGCTCAGTCCTGGGTGGGTTTGGAGTTTTTCACCTGCAGGGTCAGTTCTGAATGGGTTTGGGGTTTGTCACCTGTGGGGTCAGTCCTGGCTTGGGCTTGGGGTTTGTGACCCATGGGCTCAGTCCTGGGTGGGTTTGGAGTTTTTCACCTGCAGGGTCAGTTCTGAATGGGTTTGGGGTTTGCCACCTGCAGAGTCAGTTTTCGGGTGGGTTTGGGGTTTGTCACTCATGGGGTCAGTTCTGAATAGGTTTGGGGTCCATCACCTTTGGTGTCGGCTCTCAGGTGGATTTGGGATCCATCTCCTGTGGGGTCAGCCCTCAGGTGGGTTTGGGGTCCATCATGTGCAGGGTCAGTCCTGGGTGGGTTTGGGGTTTGTCACTCAGAGTTTAGGGCCCATCACCTTTGGGGTCAGCTCTGAATGGATTTGGGGTCCATCAGCTATGGGGTCAGCTCTGAATGGATTTGGGGTCCATCACCTTTGGGGTCAGCCCTCAGCTGAGTCTCCTCAGAGCTGCAGCAAGGACAGCACCTCCAGGCTGTGAATTCTCTCTTCCTAAGGTTTGCCTGGATCCAGGGAGAGGGTCCCAGTTTATCAGGACAGCTCTTTGCCAAACTGCTGATCCCAAATCAGCCTTTTGAGTGGGATTATCCCAAATCCTGCTGCATCCAGGTATGGCCCTGTGCTGGTCTCTTCCTGAGAGCTCACACTCAGCATTTGCTGGGGCAGAGCTGCAGGAGGGAGCTGTGGGAACATCAGCTGTGCTGGGAGAACAATCTGGATTTGTGCCCACCACAAATCCATGGGGAACATTCCCCCTTGGAGCTCTCTGAGCCCTGCTTCAGAGCCACTCCTGGAAATGCCTCTCAGCACCAAAGTGACCCCTCAGGGCAGCTGAGCTTGGGGCATTGAGGGGTGCAGAGTTCCCTGGGCACCCTGCACCTCAGAGCTCCCCAGGGATGGCAGGGAAATGAGGGTTTGGGTTCATTAGCCCTGTTAGCAGCTGGAATTGCAGCCAGGGCAGGCCTGCACACGGGTTCATCCTCTCAGGGTTCCGTGTTTCCCCTCTCCTGGATCCTGAGGAACTGATTTCCTGCTCTCACTGCTCTTCCATGTTTTTCCCCATGTTGGTTGCTGCCTTGCTTTCTGCTCTGCCTCTGCTTTTGCAGTTCTTTGTTCCCTGGGTCTGTGTGCTGCCCTTGTCTCCTCAGCTGTGCTGGCAGTGCTGTCCCTGTGCTCAGCTCCCTCGTGGCTCCTGCCACCCTGCTCCAGCTCTGCTTCCACCCCTGGCTTCCATGGTCCTGCCTCACAGCAGCCCTTTGGCTTTTAGGAAGGGCATTTTACCCTTTTATCCCAAAGATTTCAGCCTGAAGGGAAAAGGGAAGGGAGCAAAAGAGGAAGCTTTGTGCTGTGACCACCCCCAGGGCTGCCAGGGGCACAGAAATTGGGAATGCACTTGGTTCTTCATATCATGAAAATTTATAGGATTTTAAGGCTCAAACTGATGGCTCTGCCCAGCTCCAGGTTTCTGTAGGAACTCATTTCCTGCCTGGAATTTCTTTTTTAATTTTGCACCTTTTGTGCTCAGCTCCCTCGTGGTTCCTGCCACCCTGCTCCAGCTCTGCTTCCACCCCTGGCTTCCATGGTCCTGCCTCACAGCAGCCCTTTGGCTTTTAGGAAGGGCATTTTATCCTTTGATCCCAAGATTTCAACCTGAAGGAAAAAGTTTCCTCTCTTTTTCCCTTCCCTTTGTCCTGTGACCTCTCCCAGGGCTGCCAGGGGGACAGAAATTGGGAATGCACTTGGTTCTTCATATCCATGAAAATTTATAGGATTTTAAGGCTCAAACTGATGGCTCTGCCCAGCTCCAGGTTTCTGTAGGAACTCATTTCCTGCCTGGAATTTATTTTTAAATTTTGCACCTTTTGTGCTGTTTAATTAACAACAGAGAAGAAATTGTGCCTGATTTTGATTTTTGGGTAAAAATTCCTGCTCTGACTCCTCCGGCCTTGTGAATCAACTGACAAAAATGTGAGGTTCATTTATTTTATTTTATATAAAATAAATTTTATTTGTTTTATATAAAATGGACAGATTTTATTTAAAATGTATCCTGGCAAGGTGGAAGTGGAGTTTTAAAGGCAACTTAAGTAGCAGAGGACTTTTCTCTGCCTGCCTTTAGTGCTGTGCAAGGCTGCTTAATCCCAGTGCTTTAAGTTCAAAAATCTTGGATGTCATTAAGCTTTGATAAAAATATCTTATAAAGGAAGTGAAGCAGCTGAGTTTAAATTTCTGTAGCATGTCCACAAATTTCTCCTGCCCTTTTTAGGAGGGAAATGTGTAATTTGAAATGCTTCTAAGGAGGCTTGGGAGGCTTTAGTAGAACAAATTGGCTCTGTCCTGGTGCACTCAGGCAAGGTGAGGATGGCCAGGTAGGGGGAGCATCTCTGCCCCACCTTGTGCAAGCCGTGGGACTCTGATAAATTCAGGAGCAGCTCATCCTTCATTCCCTAATTTGAGATACTCCAGAGCCCAGGCTGTGAAACTTCCAAGTCACTGATGTGTTGTGGAGCTGGAAGCTCCTCACTCCTGGGAAATTCTGCTGCCACATCCTCAGTTTCTTCCCTGAGAAGCTGTGACCTGCTTTGATGAGGCTTTCAGCTCACTGAGCTGTGCCCAAATCATTCAAAAACCAGGGAAAACCCCTTTTTCTTGTCTAAAAATGACATTTATTGGTTGCATTTGCTCCCTGTGGCAAGGCTGGTCCAGCTCATTTAGCCTGGGAGCAGGAGAGGTTTGAGAGCCTGGATGGAATTCCCAGTGCCTTGTGCTGCCTCACACACTCAGGAAAGGAATATTTGACACACTTGGAGCAGAAGGAGCTGGTTTTGGAACAGAAATAATTGTGCAGCTGGGACCAAAGGCAGCTTTGCCCGAATTTTGCAGATTTTTCAAGATAAAAGGCTGCTCAGTGAGAGGCATTAATGCCTCTTGCCTGAGCTGCAAGTCAAACAAGCTTATCTGGGGCTTAGGAGAGTTAATTTTTTGCTTTTAGAACTGGTTTTGAACTAGGAAGAAACTGGCTTAGTTTTAAGGCACAAAAAAAGGCCAAGTTTATGGTGAGGGAGAGATGAACCTGGGGGTTTCTGCTCTGCCACTTCTGTCACTGCTGCTTGATTTAAAGGACTTCCATGGAGCTAATTTTTCTCAGTTTTTTGTGATTTTTGTCTTTATGTTTCCCTAAAGGACAGCAGAAAGCAATTTGAAACACCCCAAATGTACAAAAACCCCAACCAACCCCTAAAAACACCTCAAAAAGCCCCAAAAAACTTGCAGGATTTCAGAGATCTGGGATAAATTGTGATTTGCAGATTAAAAAACCCTCTCCAGAAAAACCTCTCACAATTCCAGAGGTTTGGGATAAATTGTGGTTTGCAGATATAAAAACCATCTCAAAAAAACCCCAAACCTTTGCAGAATTAAAAAACTTTAGAATAAATTGATTTGCAGATTAAGACAACACTTAAAACTGGAATTAAACTTGCTGTCCTATTCCATCATCAGGCAGTTTTCCTTTTAATTTCCAGCTCCCAAATTTTTTTTCCTGCTGCTGATTTTACCTTTGGACATCTGGGCTTTGTTTTGGGACAGTTCCATGCAGGGTAAGATTGCTGCCAAAATCTGCTTTGTTGGTTTTGGGAAATCTTGGAGCAACAACCCAATCCCTGAATCCTAGGAATTACACCCCAAAAAACCTTCCCTGCCTGGATTTTGTGAGCCCTTCTCCCTTGGGCCATCATTTATTGTGTTTCTTATCATTTCTACTGATGGAAATTAATAGGAAATGATTACAACTGCTGGATGCTCTGGATTTTATAAAAGCTGCTGTGCAGGTCAGTGTTTTGTATTTCAGTGTTTTATATTCCTCACCATCACAACATATTTGTTTCCTCCCATCCCTCTAAAGGTCTCCATGTCAAGCACAAAAAGCCATTTGCTTCACTTAAATACCTTTTTTTAATTCTTTTTTTGGTGCTGCTTATTTGCAAGAAAACAGAAAACAAATTTCCTGAGTCCACGTGGCCCTGGCATATTTTATATTTCTGGTGGCCTCTCTGGGGTGACCTTTGTGTTCACTCAGAGTCACTTCTCAGGCACTTGGGCAATTAAAATCCCCTCTCTGAACTGGCCCTTAAAGGCAATCATGATTTGTGCAGGAATTTCTGAGCTCAGCATCAGGCTTGATGTGCTCAGTGAGGAG